GGCTGAGGGCACATTGTCCCCTTGCTGCTTCTGTAAGGGGTCCTGGCCAGTGGCTTCCAAACCCTCGCGAGCTTGGCCCGGCTGGCTGCGCCGGTCCGTGGGGCCAGGGCTCCCGGGATGGCTGGAACACCTGTGAGAGGGGTGCTGGGGAACTGGGGGTGCTGGGGAACTGGGGGTGCTCGGAAGTGCCAGCTCGATCTGTCGGTCCAGCTGGGCTGGGATAAGGTTCTGTCTCCCAAAAAGCACCTGTAGCATGCAGCCCTGTGGGGTTCTTGGGGGTGCTGGGCAAATCTGAGAAGATTTTGGAAGGGCTGCTTGGAGGAGGGATGAGGGGATGCGAGCGTCCCTCCTGCCTGCCCCAAGGTGCGTTGCCTTTCCCAGCAACGAGCTGGAGCGAGGATTGCCTGGAGCTTGGCACAAAGGCCGCAGTTGTGTGAAATTCTCTTCTGTCTTTCTCCCTCTGCAGAAACTGAGCCCGGGCATCACGCAGTTCGCCTACAGCTGCGTGCAGGAGCATGTGGTGTGGACCAACATCCAGTTCTGGGAGGCCATGTTCTACTGCGACGTGCAGAACCACATCCGAGCCTTGTACCTGGACAGCAGCGAGGAGAACCACGCCGAGGAGGTGAGGAGCTGCTGGCGGTGCCCATGGCCCTGGAGGGGACATCTCCCTCTCCCCGAAAGTCCACGGGCTGATGGGGATGCTGAGCCAGCTGGGAGATTCCTGCAGGAAAGGCTGGGGGGAGGCTGGCAGGTCTCCTGTCCATGCAGAGGACTGACATCTCCTTCGACCTCCTTCAGGAGAGCACAGAAGAGCCGCAGGAGGCCAAGTCAGCCCTGGAGATCGCGTCGGAGCAGCTGCGGCTGTGGCCCCCCACGAAACGAGAGAAGCAGCAGGAGCTGATCCAGAAGGAGGAGAGCACGGTGTTCAGCCAGGCCATCCACTACGCCAACCGCATGAGCTACCTGCTGCTGCCCCTCGACACCAGCAAGAGCCGCCTGCTCCGCAGCTCCGGGCTGGGTGACGTGGAGAGCGTCAGCAACAGCTTCGTCACCAACAGGTGAGCGGCGCTGGGACACCAGAGCAGCCTGGGCTGGAGACAGGAGCTCCCTGGGGCAGTGCCACGTGGCTGCCGTCAGGATTGACGCGGGTTGCAGTGCCCAGGGGTGCTCATATCACAAATTGGAGCTCTCCTGGGCTGATATAAGGAGTGGGAACCCTCAGGCTCTGCATGGCATGGCTTATGGCAGAGGAGAGAATCACAGAGTCATCGAATAGTTGGAGTTGGAAGGGACCATGGAGGTCATCTAGTCCAACCCCCCTGCAGTAAGCAGGGACCTAAGTGAGATGCTCTAGGTTAATGAATTTTCCTTCCTCGTGTACGGCAGCATCGCTGGCAGTGTGGCCGAGAGCTACGACACGGAAAGCGGATTCGAGGACGCAGAGAGTTCGGATGTGGCCAACTACGTGGTGCGGTTCATCAACCGCTTCGTGGACAAGGTCTGCACAGAGAGCGGCGTCACCAACGAGCACCTCAAGGGGCTGCACGTCATGATCCCCGGTAGGAAGCATTGCAGCGGCGCTGCTGGGGAACGGGCAGCTGCAGGATCTCACCGGGGATCCCTCCCCATCAGCTCAGGGCTCTGCTCAGGAAGCAGCGAGGGGACCAAGGGACGGCACACATGGGGCGGGGTGGCAGCAGGGCTTTGCTCACGGTCTCTGACTTGGTGTTTTTCCCCAGACATCGTGCAGATGCACATAGAGACGCTGGATGCCGTGCACAGGGAGAGCAAGAGGCTTCCCCCCATCCAGAAGGTACGGACCCGCCTGCCACGGGCAGGGAAGGTTCTGGTGCCGCGTGGGGCTGTCGCGTCCCCTTCCGCCGTCCCTCAACATCCCGTTGTACGTCCCCGTAGCCAAAGCTGCTGCGTCCCAACCTACTGGTGGGCGAGGAGTGCGTGATGGAGGGGCTCCGCGTGTACCTCATGCCCGACGGACGGGAAGAAGCTGCCGGAGGGAATATCGGTGGTCCGCCTCTCCTCCCCGCCGAAGGAGCCATCTTCCTCACCACGTACCGCATCATCTTCAAAGGCACTCCCACCGACCCCCTGGGTAAGGGGCTCGTGCCCACCACGTCCTCTGGCTTCGGGGGCTGGGAATGCCGCGGGAGGGGGTGGCCGGTAGCTCCTGGAGCAGCGGCTG